GATTTGGTCTGAAAATTAGAGCGGAGAAGTATTTCAAGAGAGCAGCGAAAGCAGAGCCAGCGGACGCAGAGGCGCTGAATAAATACGCGACGTTTCTTTGGAAAGCAAGAAACGATATTTGGAGAGCAGAAGAAACGTACTTGGAAGCAATTTCTGCTGATCCAACAAATTCTTTCTACTCTGCGAACTACGCACATTTCCTATGGAATACCGGTGGCGAGGACACGTGTTTCCCTCTCGATGCTCCACCGCAACAGAACACTGGCTAATAAAGAGTGACAACAATTGTCAATGTACAGTGTGTTTTCTTTATACAACTCATTTCATGTGGCAACTTTTTGTTTTGTGAACCAAAAAAACTTCTTGTTGATATATTCGTACATATTCAACTTTTTTTTGCTCGGAACTATTGCATACATTCACGGACTTGTTCTTTACGTGAACAAACCATGCGTCACAAGTTCCAATAAGATGAGTATTTTTACGTTGAACGTAGTATTCATAGCTACCGAGGAAAGTTTAATCTATGTAAAATATAAGAATTAATTTCCTCTAACCCCAAGAGGATCAACTTTGATCGTGTATCACATCCCTGTACTTAAACCATGCTAATCTTATAGCACTAGTAATGTAATTGTTGATCGAATTTTGTAATCGAATGCATTAAAAGCAACAAAAGAAGTTTTGAGAGTCATGAAAATATGTGTTGATTTTGTAAGAAACTAAAACCATTCTCGATCCCACGTTTTCTTTAGATCTCTACAACACATTGGATCGTGAGAAAAAACCTCAATACAGTAATGTGAACCCCTTTTTTTTTTTTATTACTCGTTATCAACTATCCTCTCTTTTTTTGTGTGTATTGTCTCCATACTCGTTATCAAGCTTCGGGATACACGCAGATCTATATATCCTCACGTGAAGTCATTATAATACTACTCTTTTTCTTATCACATTATAATACTTTTTTTTTTTTTGGTTGATGTATAAATAATTGATGTGGAAAGGTGTTGAAAACTATGTAATTTGTTTAGTATTATTGTTGCATTTTTGGAGTACAGCAGTCAGATCAACGATAACGTGTATAAAATGTTGATAGTACAATTATTCATTTTAATAGAAACATGCGTCCAAGCAGTTTGTCAGTGTAGTTTCTACTAGACTGAGTCATCATGTCAGAATACCATACCATTTAGAAGTTAATGGTTTTCTGGTTATATAATGCGTTTACTAGTTATGGTTGAAATGTTTTTTTTCCCTGAACTCATATCTATAGTAATAGTGAATCCCTACATTCTACCTTTTATTGGAAAAAAAAAATGTATTACAAGTTGAAACTATTAGCTGCAGATCGAGAAACCTCTCAAGTTTCTTGTCTGTTTTTGTGTTTATTTGTCTTCAGCCTCTGAACAGTCCTACTCTGGTTTGAAAATACGCTTATGACATTTTAGCTCTTGCAAAGAACACTCCAGCAAATAAACCTGCAAAATCAAAACACATATACACCAAAATTGATACACACATTCATTCCCACACCTTATATAACTCACAAAAGGAAGCAGAAAACAGAACTAATCATCATAGCTTGTGCTCTGTTTTGCGAAGAACCCTGTTGTGTTACTTACCAAAAAGTATGCTGAACAAATTTGGGAGACTGAGAGGGACATTGAAGAGTACAAGTCCAGCTAGTGATATTGGAACCTTGTTTAATGAACCCACCAGACTGCCACACAATAGAAACAACATACCGTTAAACCCCACTTACAAATGAAATGTTATGAGTCAATGTGGTCGGAATGAGATACCTGTATGTTGTGGGTCCGGTTTGATGCAAGAACCACATAGAAGTGAAGCTGATGGCTAGACCAAGGAAGCCGCTTGCTGTTGCGACTACCCAAAACATTGCATCTTTTGTCACATCCCTGCCACAAAGTTAAAACACCATGAACATCATCAAAAGAGACAAGGACTTGTTTAAGTCAAGATAAATGTGGAATACATATATTTTTAAGCGAGCTAAAGAATCAGCTAAGTATATTAATAAGTAAATGACAAGATGTAAATTTTGTGGACTAGTGTGGCTCTGTTTAATAATTCTTACGTGCTTATTACGTATCTCCATTCACCCAGTAAGATGATCAAGATAATGCCAAAAGGTATTGACAAGAGATTATTCAGCAGCACCATTGACACCTCATTAAGAGAGCCAGATTTTGTTGACTGCTTTGCTTTGTCCATGACTCGACGAAGAGTAAGCTGCGACATACAGTTAAAATATCACCATTATACAGAGTGAGAGAGAGATGCATCAGGATTCGTGATTCAAGGCACTGGTTTCATAAGTGTGAACTTACTGAATAACTTGCGGTTAGAATGCAGTTGGCAAACTGCCATGTGTACCCTACTGTATTGAATGTAAGATCTGTGATACCTCCGCTGATTGCAGAAATGATCTGTATTGCAAAAAATTAATTGGTATCACTTTTATATCAGACAGGGGTTGCTAGAGAATTTCACTGAACAAAGAAGTACAATTTAACTTACCATCATGAACATTGCAGCCCAAACCTTGTTGTTCTGCCTTTTGCGAAACATGTATACTTCCCCTATTGCTGTAATAATATTTGTCGCATTCTTCAGAATAGTCACCATAGCGACGTTTATGTATTTCAAACTGGAAAAGAAATGTAATGCTGCATTAGTCTGAAGCCCCTCACATTTCTCAATGAAATTACACTTATTAGTCTCCTGAATGGTGTTGAAATCTTACCTGTACATCCCCGAGATCAGCATACCCACAAAGATAACATTGACAGGCATCCATACTTTGATCAACTTCCAGTTAAACTTCTCTACTGAAACTACTCCAGATAAATCTAGTCCAGCTACCACCAAACAGCTGATTAAGTTCTGAAGCAAACGTATAAGCAAATCACCAAACTATATAGTTTGTCAAATCATCACGAAATCAAAGCTCATGGGTTAAAATGTCTTACTTGATATAACAACAAAGAGATTCCTGCGTTGAAATTATAGCTAGAGAGAACAATTTTGTTCATTATTATCATACTGCAGGAAGAAATGCAGTAAGCTGTTCCAGACACGAGTGGTCCTGACTGTTTCCCTGACCCGTGGTCACGTCTGTTATCTCCATCAACAGGAAGATATCTCCTTCTCCATCTAAGAAACCTTCAGTGAGAGAATCAAGAAAGGTAAATGCAATATTCCTTAGACCATAACCTGAACCAGCTCAAGAAAAACAAAGCCTAAGCATCATATTAGTACCTTTCACTTAAGCCTCTACGTTCAGAAATCTTGTCATGATTGTGGATTTGATCGAGAAGTTGATAGACAACGTTCTTACTACTACTACCATTATCACTGAAATTCAGCTCTGATTCGTCAGGTTCATTGCAAACTATCGATTCCAGTTTCACAGAAGTCATGTCTTGTGTTCCTGCACCCAAAAATTTTCACATTTCACATCAGAAATTACAAAGACGAATCAGTCAGTAATCGAACCACTAGAATCAAAGACTAGAGAGACCTAGAAATTTTGGTGGTACCTGAAGATCGTAGAAAAGCTATCTCCTCACTTTCAATTCGCGGAATCGAACGAATGATTAAGAGTAAGGAAGGGAGTTACACTTATCAGCTCGAGTAATCACGCGAATACGGCGCGTAAATGCGAATCTAGCGTACGATTTCATATGGGAATCAGATCTTCACCGTTTTTTGGGAAGAGAGAAACCGGCGACGAAGAAGGTGAAGAACTTTTTAGGAAACACGCAAAGCGTAAGAGACGAAGAAGGAACGTGGGAGGATCTGAGCGAGATTACCGAGGAGGTTAGAGAGAGAGAGTAACCGTCCATGTTCAATCTCCAAACTTTGAAATCTGGGGAGAGAGATTAATTATAAATTAGTATATTTTTAAAAATTAGCCTGGAAACGGAATGATACGTGAAGAAATTTAGGCTTGAGGCTACCGCCGGAATCCATGGCGAATTTCCTGGCGGGAAGATTGCCGGTGGCTGTGCTGCCGAGTCGGGTTTTGAACTTGGGCTTGGGCTTCACGCTTTGGACTAAGCCCTCTGAAATTATTAATTAGTCGTCATCGTATTTGCAAA